CAAAGTGGCTCTTCCTCTCTTCCCGCCGCCTATACTTCCTTGGAAATTTCTTATATCAAACGATCAACTCACAGCACCCTTCCTATATCTACTGTCTCCTCAAGCCGAAACCTTTAGTCCACTCAATAAAAACGAGATCCCGTGATTCTGAACTCGATATTCCATCACACAAGACAAAAACCTATGAACGTTCCTTCTTAGCCTGCTCCGTCACCTATTGGAATTCTTTGCCACATAACATTCGTCATGCCTCTTCACTGTCAACCTTCAAATACCTCCTTTTCCAATATCTCCTCACATCCCAAACAGATGATTCGCAACCATAAATTTCATTTTATGAACTGAATTTGTGAGAAGTAAATGGTGATGCCTACAGTTTAAGTTTTAACATAAAACAGCAATGATTTTTGACTATTATTTTTACTATTTATTTGTATTTCTCTTCACCTCAGGTTGTGCTTTTTCTTTTATATATATATATATATGTTTATATTTTATACTTTTTGTCTCACTGTGTAGCAATATGAGTAAGTACGTTTATATAGTTCCTTTTTTACCTTTTTACCACAATTATTCCTGAGATTTTATTTTATCTTAGTGTTTGCTTATTATTGTATGAATCACTGTAAATATTATTACATTTTTTATTAAATTATGTTTCTATTAGATAGCCTATTGTTTATAAATTGTGCAGTTACGTATATATAGATATGTAATTTCTTTTCTGTCTTTTTTTTTTTTTTTTTTTTTGTCATAATAATAAGTAAATTTGGAGAAGATTGTATGTTCATTTATATATGTATGTATGTATGTTCGTGTGTTTATATATGTGTATATTTTTTTTTTTGTTTATTTCTTAGTTGCTACATACTACTTTTTAAATAATGTATATTATGTTAGAATTTTTTTAAGTTAGTTTTTGGCCAGATTGGTATTCCTGGTATTCCAAATTCCTGTTAGAGATTGGAAAATTAACTTCAGGGGAGATGGAGAGGATTTAAGTGTGCACACTTTTTTTAAAACGGTTGAAAATTTAAGGCTAGCTAGGAATACCACGGAAGGAAATATTTTTGTAGCGTCATACGATTTGTTTAAGGGTCCAGCACTAATTTGGTTTTGATCAATTAAGAGAAAAGTTACAACGTGATCTTAACTTGTCTTGGTGTTGAAAGCCGCATGTACACCGTTGGACTATGGTGATAGATTATGGGATGAAATAAGGAGAAGAACCCAAAGGCTTACAGAATCGGTTGGTTCATAGTTGGTAGTAATGAAAAATTAAACAGGTCCCTTCTATCAACTGTCCCTTCTGAAGAGGAAATGTTGAGAATAATCAAAAAGAATATTGACCCCTACTATTTGGACCAACTTGCACTATTTTTTTTTTTTTTGGGCTCCTCGCCTTTAAGGCTATACGGGGTTTTCCCGGGCCAGAGGGTGTGGGGGAGGATTTAAATGATTCCCCAGGCACCAGGAAGCGAACTCATGACTATTTTTAAATCCTTTGTCTCATAGATCAGGATGCCGGGCAACGGCTGTGCTGTGCATGCACGTTAGCCCGTTCGACCACCCCGCCCACAAAAATAGATGCCAACAGCACGCGGTTTTCCCAGGTGGTCACCCATCAGGTGGTCACAAGTACTAACCATGCCCGACATTGCTTAACTTCGGTGATCGGACGAGAACTGGTGTGTTCAACGTGGTATGGCCGTTGGTAAAAAATTGTTCATCGAATTTACAAAAAATCTTGGAGGTGCTGGGTATCAATCCTGGTACCTCTCACATGCTAAGCGAGCGCTTTACCATCTGAGCTACGCCCCCTTGTGACCAACTTGCACTAGTGTAGTAACCACTTTGAAGAACTTGATAACTCTCGGGAGACAGTTAGAAGAGATAAGGTGGAGGGTATTTGTGTATCGACCTCCCCCTCCAAGTTACTTACAAGTTACTTGAACCCGATTTGGCTCATCTGCTGCCTCAAAGAAAACAAACAAGCCACTTCAACGCAGTAGAAACAACAAAGGAATGCAGGGAAGAGGTTGCTAAACCAAATTATTCTTTTCGATGTTGGAACTATGGAGGAACTAGTCATTCTTTCAAAACATGTCCATTAAAGAAAACAAAATTTTACGAGGTTGCGGTTGGAAAGGTGTTGAAAAAAACAATGTGGGAACTTTCCAGGTCTAAGTCTGGGTGTACCCTAAAGTCCACAACCAAAGCTGACTGGGAGGAACGGTTGTCAATAGTAAAGGGAGTTTTCGAGGGAAATAAATGAAAAATTCTGAAACATCCGGCAAACAAGTTTGATCGACGACCATTTCTAAAAGTAAATATCCTGGAGAGGATTGAAATGGGGCTATTGGACTCGGGAGCATTTAGGTCTCTAATGGGCGAAAAATGCTGAAATGACTTCGAGTAATTCTACAGGATAATCCAGACGTTCGAATAAATGCTGCTGGAGGCACCGCGCTCAACATGGTTAAAAGCGTGAATGTCCCAGCTACATTAGAGGATAGAATGAGAGTAATAGAATTTGTAATAGTGCCTAGTCTGGGGGATGAGATTATATTTGGTATAGATTTTTGGGATAAATTTCGGTTAGTTCCAGATTTGTCTCAGTACTCGTGGATTTTTGCTGACGAGGAGTGTTTAGCGGTATCACAGAACAATCCAACTATTTTAACAAGGTCAAATCTTACTCCAGAGCAGGAGGGTATTGTAAATTGCCTTGTCAAAAATTGGTGAAATACTCGACCATCTAAGCTGGGATGCACTAATAGAGTCGAACTTGAAATTGATACGGGAGATAGTAAGCCTGTTAAACAGCGTTACTACTCTGTATCACCAAAAATTCAAGCCATCTTGGATAAAGAGCTTGATCAAATGCTTGAGGAAGGCATTGTAGAGCCTTCTCCTGGGTCTTCTCCTGTTGTTTTGGTCAAGAAACCCGATGGATCCTATGGTTTCTGCATAGATTACTGCCAGTTAAGTCCCGGGCCTAAAAGAGATGCCTACCAGCTTCCCTATGTTTCAAACATCCTTGATAGGTTACAAGATACCAAAATAATGTCTTCCATTGACATAAAAAGCGCTTTCTGGCAGATACCGATGGCTAAAGCGAGCAAGGAAATAACCTATGTAACACCCTCCAGCAAGTCTAGAGGGCCTCTCTCATTGTTAGTCAGTGAGTACATCGGGCTTAGCTGGGAGGAACTTCTAAGGAATTTCCACCAACCATCCCCAAATCTGCTACCCGTTAGACGGTCCCCTACGCAGTAATGAGTCCGCACGAGGATGGATGTATATTGTAACCTCCCTCTTATATTTTACAAATAATAATATAACCTCGGAAGATCACTTTATCCATTTGGATACTTCCAAAAGAAACAAGAGGTTGTTATAATAATAAACAAAATTATAAGAGTATTAATATATTTATTTATGTCAGGTGTGGGTTTCTGACAATCAGATCAACTCAGATAAACTATTATTATTTACACTATTTATTATAAAATTAAACACTGATTTTAAAATAAAGTCAATCTGGATTGGCAAGCTAACCTTTTTTCTATAGATACTATTTCTTCCTTTGTTGCCCTAAATTCATTTGTCTTCAAATACTTTCTAATGTTCTGCCAAACATAACATCCAAAATGGTAATATTATTACTGGGTTTTACCCACTGGAGTGAGGATCACTTCTCCCATCCTCTCTTCGCCCCAGCCAAAAACCAACTACTCGCCAAAATAAAAACTTTTGTCTCTCTTGCCTTTTAATTGTTAAACATTAATTTATTAAACCCTTTTTACTCACTTCCAATAAAGGTGTACATTATAATATGTATATATATATATTTAGGTATGTGTTCATTAACACGAAATAAACAAAAAAGTTCATATTAACATACATCTTAAACTCATTTATTAAACAGATATTAAAGGTTAAAAATTTATTATTTATTTACTACATTAACATTGACTGTTCAAAAGTTGTATGACTAATCAACATGTTTAATACTGAATAACAGGTTTTAATCACATGGTTAACAAATGAACGATAAGCAATGGCTGTAGTTGCTCATCTGTTTGTCTAGTTCGCACACAAGAAGAGCTGAGAAATCGGATCATGGAAGCCGCAGTAACCATCAAGCACCATTCTGATGCTATGCGAAAAGCCAGAGAAGCATGGATTCGTCGTGCTCAATGTTGCATTCAACAAAACGGAGGCCCCTTTGAACACTTATTCTAAATGTTGTAATAAATAGTAATAATAAATAATAAATCTTTAACATTTGATATCTGCTTAATAAATGAGTTTGAGATACATGTTGATATGAACTTTTTGTTTATTTTGTATTAGTGAACACATACCTAAAATAGTGACATGTGATTACGAAACACCCTGTATATTTTTATTTTTTTGTGAACTTGAAGAAATTGAAGCATGACAAAAGAAAATGTCCTTAACCTACCATGCTTTTACTCCATGATGTGGAAGCCTACCTAGCACTTGCTGTAAATAATCTTGCAGTTTCTACAATGCACGAACTGTTATTATATAATTATACCATTCCCTTCAGAATGGAGGGGTACCATCTAATCATACTTAATCTAGCTTTGATAACTTCAGAACTGATAGTCTCTATTTTTCCATAATGGAATCTTGTCAAAGCAGAACAGTAAAAATATCACCATTTTTTTGGATATTATAACTCAAAACCTTGAGTCTCTGATGGATAATACCTATCAATTTCAAACCAATTATTCAGCCAATCTCCCATAGTGTAAACAACATGATAATTTGTTGTATTCAATTTATTTCTGTGATAAGACAATTTTTAGACTTTCACCACTTTCTTCTGAATTTACACCTATAGCTGATTTTGTTTTTAGAAACTGATAAAACCTGTTAATCTAATAACACCTGTTTTATTTTTTTCATTTGTTACTGCAAATGTTAGCTATATGAGCTATAAATTAAAGAACTGGTTTCTCTTTTAGGTGAATCTTACCCACCAGCTATCCCATCAACTTCTCGCTCATTATGGTTGAGGTTCAGATCAGATGAAAATATTGAATACTCTGGCTTCAGGGCCATCTGGGAAGAGGTACCAAAACCAGAATCAGGTAATGGAAGCAGCACTGTTAAAGGTATTTGGACTATCTTTTAGTTTGTTTGTTTTGTTTGCTTTTTTTTTGTTCTTTGTTCTTTTTTACAGTGCTTATTTTATATTAATTAAAATATTAAAAATACAGAAATTTTGGATTTATTATAAAGAAGACTTGTGAAAGCATAACATTAATGGATATCTTCTTACACATAATGAATACTAACAGTTAAAACATCGCACTGAGGTGGTATAAAACAAATTTAAATAATTATTTTATGTTGCACTTTTAACATAGTTGCTAATTATTAAATTATTTTATTAATTCATACCAGTAATGCCAGGCTACTCGACAATAACCAACGAGTTTGTTCCTATTTTTACCATTAAAATAATTTTTAAACTCTAATATAACTAATGCAGTTTTAATAAAATATTTTATTCTAAATTCGGCCAGAATGGGGCATACAGCTATACAATGAAAATTATCATCTTCTGCTGTAAGGTTTCACAGAGAGTATAATTTATTCTAATTATGAAACTTACATTTATTTAAACATGGAGAAGGATTGTTAAAATTATGAAGATAACAAATAATGAGAATACTCAGCAATACATGCTGTTTATTAAGTTTGCTAAAGTTTCAGCTCAATAGTTATTTAATTAATTTATTTTTACATAATTCTGTTTTTATATTTTTCTCTGTTGGCATTACAGACCATGTAGATCTTTTGCCGCCTTAACAAGACTGCTTCATCTCTACTCCATAAAGCTATTTTTTTTTCATTTATCTGCACGCAACTCTATTGCATCTTTGTTGAATCTATCTATCCATCTGCTTTTTTGCCTTCCACATGGTCTTTTGCCTTCTATTGAGGCATTCATTGTTATGTAGAGACTTCCAGATGGATTTCTACAAGCTACATGCCCCACCCATCTTAACCTCTGTGCCTTCATTTCATGGGATATTGATTGATCAGTTTCTGTAAGCAGTTCTTTCTTCTCCATGTGTTAGTACTCTAATCTCAGATCGCTCCGGTTATCGTGCAGAGGATTTTTCTCTCAAATCTTTCAATACTTTTTCCAAGAGTGCTTAGTGGTTAGTGTCCAGAACCATATATTAGAACTGGCTTTATCATAGCATTTACACCCTTAATTTGAGATTTCTTATTTTGAGATTTTTCGGTAATTTCAATACCTTTGAAATGGAGAAGAAAGCTCTGTTTGCGCTAATTATACACTGGTCTATTTCTGCCCGTTATTCATTCATTGAGGTTATTGTGGAGCTGAGGTATTTGAATTTTTCTACTCTCAGGAATTATTTTCCTTCTACACAAATCCTGTTATTAGGATGGAATTTTTGGCTTATCATCATTTATTTTGTTTTGTTTTCATTTAATTGAAGGCTGATCTGCTCTGCCTCTCTTATCAGAGTCTTAGCAAGTTCCTCAATGTCTTTACAAGATATTGAAATGGTAAAAAAAAATACTTTAAATTTATTTTTAATTTAATAGATATTGAAATAACTAGAATAAACACTTCAGGTAGGATAATAATATTTTATGAACAGAGCTAGAGGAAAATTATCCCAAACACAAATAAAAAATCTCTGCCAAGTAAGGCCAGTTTCTCACAATTTTGATTGGTTACACAATTATCTCCGGGTCTATATTTTTTTCTTTACAAGAAACCGTTTTTGAAATATAGTAATCACTCAAACTTTGCAGATTTGATAACCAGTAGTTTTCGGCATCAGCTAATACAAAAATGCATATGATTGCCACACTTGTGAATTGCATATTTAATTGTTTGTGATCCCAAAAAAATCATAAAATAAAATAAGTCCTATTACTATATGTATGTACAAATGGAACATGCTTATATACGTAATCGTTATGTTTTAACTCCTAAAATAGATGAAACAAAAATTCATTGAAAGAATTCAATATTTTGTTTGTTCAGTGCTAACAAAACTCATTTTTTTCATTAGTCATATAAAAACCAATTGAAGGAGATATATGAGTGAAATTCACAAAGTACATAAAAAGAAGTCTTATAGTCTGTGGGGACAGACCCCTCTACCGTGCACTCCCCCCTTCCCACATCCCTATAAATTGCGTATTGTTGTGTTCCTTGTAACTATTTATTAGAAAAAATAATTAGCTTAGGCAATAAAAAACACTAATAAAGTAAGCTTTTTTAACATACAAATTTTGAAGTTGAAAATCAAGTGTCGTTTGTAATTATACGCCAAACAATAACGCAAAACATGCTGAAATGAAACATCTGGAGAATATATTTCACTTTCTAAAACACTGATTACTTTTTATAATATTTGAAGCAGTTCTGTAGAAAATGCACTTAAGCGGCAGAAAAGCGGTACTGGTATAGATGCCTACAGGCCTCTACCACACCATTCAGTACTCATAAATGGCTTAGTTATAGTGATATAATAATATTTTTGGTACATTATATTGATTTTATTAACGAACAAATATTAATGTAATCATTTAATTGTAAAAAAAAATTAAACAAGTTTTTAAAATCTATTATTTTTTTTTTTTTAATTTAACTTCCTTTATTCTATTTCTGTTCTTCTATTCTATTAGTCATTTAAGAAGACCTCTATTATAAAAATGATATAATTATAATAATAAAACTTAATTCAAAAATACTTTGCTGAATATCTTGAATTTTTTATTTAACGTTTGCAATTTAGCACTCTGTTTTGTATATTTACTGATTCTTAGAGGTAATTTAAATTGTATATACTTCCCAGGAAATGAGTCCTATTAATACCTGTTTTATAAACTAAAATAATGTATACCTAGTCTGAACTACATATAATGAATATTTGCCGGGTTTTTTAGTAAAACTCATATATCACTAATAAAAACATTAATTTTTATTGCCTTTATTTTGTTGGGAAGTTGGACCATATCATAAAAAATATGAAATTTTAATAATGAATGCATCATTCTCTCTGCACAAAGAAAGATGGAAAGGGCGAAGCTATAAGTTTTTCTAGGTAACCGGAACTGATTTTAAGGATTTGGTCTCAAAATGAGAGAAAACTTGAAATTGAACACAAAAATGTATAGTAGGCAGATGAACATAATGTTTAAAGATGCTGCTAAAAGGGAGTCAAATGTCGCTTGGCAGTTTGGCACAATATTAAGTGGACGATGGAGGTTTATTAAGGTGAAAACTGCTTTATTTTCAATTGCTACTGAAGTTGCACATTGGAACTATCTTCACTTTGAAGCAGATTATAGATAGGTCTATCGAGAAAGGGAAATAGCTCTCCTTCTGTTTAGTGCATTTGCAAAACTTTGGACGATCATAGGGCTCCCCGCTAATATATCATCGGCGATGTTATATGCACCAAGGAGGTATCGAGGATTGGGACTGATCCACTGTCAATGGGAGGCTCCTTTGCAACATTGGTCCATTGCCCAGCGACTGTCCACTGTACCGGATGCCCTGTTCCAGTCTATATTTGATTATAACGCCGAAATAGCCGAATGTGCGGAGAGACTGGGTGTTGACCAGGGCTACCGAAGCATGAGAGCTCTACGACAGTCGCTGAGAAAAAATTCCTTTGAAGAATGGGCCAGTTGCAGGTGACAAGGCATTGGAGTTAGGCATTTCAAAGAGACTCCGAAAGCTAATAAATATATATGCCAGAAGCAAGTACTTTCGGGGTCAGAATGTTCCAACGCCTTGAAACTTAACATCAACTATACACCATTGCGTGGAGTCCCAGGAGCCAGTGGACAGTCAAAGAAAGTTGGGTCCCTCTGTCGCAAATGCGGCAGAGAGTCTGAAACACCAGTCCATGTGCTGGGAAAATGCCCCAACAACTCCCTCCTCATAACACGCCGGCACCATAGGGTAAAATTCAAATTGATGAGGCTCCTTAGGGAAAGGGAATTTGTATGCTTTGACTAGGTCTATTGTATTGATAGCGATGGATCAACAAGATACGTGGATATAGTTGCATTCTCCAGGACTAGAAAGGCGGCACTGGTCTTGGATCCAACTGTTCGCTATGTGAGCAATGACCTCGATCAACCCAATGAAGTGGAAAGAGAAAAGAAGGAAATCTACGAGAAATGCATGGAATTTCTCTTTTCCTAAAAGAGAAATTCCACGAGATCTTCGGAGAGAGAGTTCACAGTGAGAGGCCTCTGGTTTGGGTCTCGTGGAATGATTCCTAAAAGAACAGGGAGCTTCTTCGAGGAACTTGGTATTGATGTCGGGAAGCTTGTAGTGTTGGCCGAGGGTATTATTCTGGACTCCCTTGGGATCATTCATCATCACATATATGGTAATTAGTGGTTGATTATCGTTACTTATTTATTTATTCAATTTTAAATTATTTAAGTGGCCATATCTTTTTGTCTATGTTCATAGGACTATGTTACTTGCTGTGTGTGCGTTCTAATTTTCTGGTGTTAAAACTTTGGCATTCAAATACTATATATATATATTTTTTTTTTTTTTTTTTTTTTTTTTTTTAGCCCTATAAATTTTATAAATTGTCTTGTATTGGTTTCACCCAAATATTTATATATAATATATTGTATAATTGTACTTGTATGTATTAGTATATTATAGTATTGATACTGTTTGTGCTGTGTAATATGAAAAGGAATTTATATATAATCTGTATGTCCAAAAAAGAAAAGGGATTGATGAGTATGCTGTTTATCGAGCAACCCTATGTAGTAGGGCAGTACTGCTTTAAATAAAGTATTTCTCTCTATATCATTTTTACAATAGAGGTCTTCTTAAACGACTAATAGAATAGAGGAATAGAAATGGAATAAAGGAAGTTAAAGTAAAAAAACAATAATAATCAATTTTAAAAAAAATTGTTTAATTTTTTTGACAATTAAATGATTACATTAATTTTTGTTCGTTAATAAAATCAATATAATGTACCTAAAACGTTATTATATCACTATAACTAAGTCATTTATGAGTACTGAATGGTGTGGTAGAGGCTTGTAGGCAGAGATGGGCATATTTATATTCAAA